TGATACCAGCGTACTTGGATTGTTCCAAATGCGACACCCGAGTGTGCTTACGGACAGGCGCATGCATTTCATCGTAACAGCTTTTATCTGATAATGTTACATGAGCGAAAATACTGACGGGACTCAGTATTGAAATTCGAACTTACTAAAGCTTACAAAGTTTAGCGTCTGAAGTTAGAAAGTCCCTATGTTCTGTTTGCTATGGAGGAAGAGGGGACGGTGCTTCATCTGTTCAGGTCATTGCAGTCCACTTATATATTTTTAAAATGCGTTTAAACAGTTGTTCAAGAAGCTGGTGTTTCGTTAATGAAGTTGAAGTATGACGAAAGAGAAAGGGCAGCCTCAAGCCTATGGAGATGAATATTACTGGGACAATAGGTACAGTCAAGACGTTGGTTCGTTCGATTGGTACCAGCGGTATGCTGGTTTGGCACCTCTTATCAAAATGTACATGCCCTAGACAAACCATCTACTGATGGTTGGCTGCGGAAATGCAGGTTTGTGTCGACCCAAGTTACTCGTTCTCTCTGTGAAGACTTTCTAGTGCAAATTGGTACTGTGGTATGGTGCTGAAGTCGTCTTGTTGTGGCTAGTGTTTCTGTGTACTCAAGAATCTGCTAGTAGTTGTTTCGGGAGCATCAATATTCCGAAGTGTCTTTAGGGTAAATTGCTTCCTTACTAAGCGATGCCGGATCACGAATTTAGCTGGTCTCGGATTTCTTTTGTTTTTAAATATTCTTATAGGCAGGTTTTAGCTTTGTGGTTGTGGGAACAGTCATATCAAAGGACATGGTAAACGACGGCTATCAAACTATTATAAATATCGACATCTCTCAGGTTGTGATTGACGCAATGATAGAGAAGTACAAGGATGTGCCACAGCTTCAATGTAATTTTCGATTCTACCTTCTGAACTTGTGTTCCGAGTGTTGTTGTGACCTGATGCGGCACCTTTGGATTTTCATAAGTACTGTTGTTTAGCTTGTGACATAAGATCAGGCAAGTGGAAAGTTTCCTATGCTCAAGGGAGCTGTATCATTTTAATATGTTCGTTCTAAAAGTTGATGCAATTTACGAGGGCGCTCATTTGTTGCATGTTTGGTTCTTGTGTCTTCAGACCAGCGGATGGATGTTCGATCATTATAAACTTTTTCCCTTCTTCTATGTGGGTTGTGTCGCATTGCATTGTTTGATATAAAGTGTTTGACTGTATTAATGCATTATTTTTACATAGTGTAACTTCCTGTGGAAGTTATGCGCTCTAAGTTGCATCTGTCAGTTCGTTGTACTTTATCTTTGACTTGGTTCCCTTAAGCAGATTACATATGGTGATCCTCGTGTGCGGATACCGCATCTGAAGTCCGAGTTAGCTCCTTGGGAGATCAGACTGCATGTAATACGTATGTGGAGTATTCTGTCTTAATTGCACTCGTAATTTTTTTGAATAAAGGCAGAGAGAGGGAACGAAAATTTAATATATAGTTCTCTTATCAAGATGCAGAAAATAATACTTAGGTTATTTTTTTTCAGAAAAATGCAGAGATAGATAAAAGTGCAGAGAAAAAGTGCAATATGTTCCCTACAGATATACATTGGTCAATTTCTTGGAGCCATAATACAGCTGAAGAAGCTTGTATATTGGCATTATGTTTGTCAGTCATGTTTGTTTGTAAAAGCATTGATTCACACTTCTTGCGGATCATGATTTATGTCGAAGCAGCAAGACCTGGTTCGAAGCGAGCGCTCGAAGGTACCGCTCGACCCATCACCGAACCCGTACTTCTTGGGGAAGACATGACATTGGGTCCTACATTCAACCTTGAAGATCCTGACTTGCATTATGTATATGTTTGTATTAAGGTAAGTACATCATAAATTCTCGTACACATTCAGTGTCTACTTTGAGACGCTGTCGTGTTTGCAAATGAAATGTTGTCAGAGTCGGATTTTTGTGAAAGCTTGAATTTATTTAATTCGGGTCAGGAGAGGACAAGCCGTATTAAGAAAGAGAGATAATACTTGGATCTTTGATGGACTAAAGCTGTAATTGGAGTTCTAGTTTTATTTATAAATAATTACATAAGAAGAACCACTCCAACAGATTTCCATTTTAAGAGGGTCTTACAAAAAGGGCGTTACAAAAGAAACAACTTATGCAGCGTCTTTCATTGATGAATTGAAACTCTGACAACAAGTACTTGCAGTTTATTCACTTAACTACGAGGAGTCAGTTTAAAAGTATGCCAAATTTTCATCAACTGTGATAGAATCAATGAGTGATTTTAATCCAGCGAACTGGCTTTGTTGTGGAATTTGTGCTTTGTTAATATGATATGGTGTTTGTAAGAGGCAGTTACATATGGAGAATTCATCTAACACTTTATTGTCTTTTATTTGGCAGAAGGGTGGAAAACCAATTTAAATGCAGTTGTGTGATGCCAAGTGTGAAGTTAAATTATGAACCAGGAGTTAAGTGACTTAAAAGAATTTCACTTCAAGGGTAGTAAGCAGCGTTGTATAACCTTTTAGAATTATGGAAGCTAGATGTGACTTCGTTGTATCGTGGGTAATTCATCAACAAGTCCAACGCGTCAGTAGAGGTGTCACATGTCTACTCCTGTGAAGTCATGTCGTAGTATCAGTGTTACTATTTGAGATTTGATACTTAAAGTTTGGGTGGGGAGGTATGGAGTGCTAGTGATGATTGTGTGCGGCTTGCATGTGCTAATATTGCTCAAGACCAATTCATCTTTAAAAATAAGCCTCTACGTCCTCATAATTTGACGTAGAGGCTTATTTTTAAAGATGTCTTGAATGTCATGAAGTGTTGAAGAGTAATTTGTTTGAAAGTCTGACCGCTTTCCTCTGCATTCATCGATTTTGTTACCTGAGATGTCATGCCTCATCAGAAGAGTGCTTCTGCAATGTGAAATATACCTTAAGAGTTATTAGTACTGCTATTTCATAACATGGATGAGTGTTGTCATATCCGAGACTTATCAAAGAGCAGGGAGCTGATGCATATAAAGTGAATTCCACAACATGCTTGTTGCTATGACAATATTCATCACACATTGGGCAATTCAAATCTGTTTGTTTCAACAATCTGTCGTCATTTTGAAATAGAATGATCATGCAATTAGGTGTTCTTTATAAATAATCACTGTCTTCTCACATTCACATACATTTGATCTTTGAATATTGTATTAATCACCAATAATGGCAAGTTCCCTGAATGGCATACGTTGCTCGTCTTGAAGCTAATTTTTACTTCTGCCGTAACAAACTTTGACAAATCTATGAAGTTATAAGTGAATTCGCTTGTCTACGAACGTTGACTGTGTGCCAATTAATACGATGTCTTGTACGAAAATTCTAGATGAAATCATTGTTACTTTCAGTGACAATTACAGTAGATACTAAATTTAATGTTTTGTGTATATTTTGTGTTAATTGATTATTATATCATTGTTTTCATGAAAATACTTGTTCAATTCAACTCCTATCAATAATGTCATTATTACTCTTACTGTGATGGCATCAAATAACTTAGTTTAGTATTTTTTTCTCACCAATATATATAATATATATTTTTGTTGTTGGTATTGATAAAAATTGTAGATTATTCCATTGGTCAAACATCTTGTCTTCACTCAATCTTGGATTGATTGCTTAATAAAATACTATATAAAATTTATTTTTATATATATAAATTATGTAATAAAAGAATAGTTTGGTATATACTATTAATATACTATCTTGGATAATAATAAACCGTTTTATATTAAAATTCCATAGAAAAGAACCAAAAAAAATAGTGTAATAGCATCCACTTTTAGGATGTAAAATTATATTTGATTCACTATTACATTTATTTTGAATATTTTCCAAAATATTTTAATTTTAAGCATATCCTGACCTTGTTTTGTAATTTGTAATATTTATTATTTTTTTGGCATAATACCAATCTTAATGATGCCAACAACCACTTTTCAAATTTGTAAAACATGCACAAACAACAAAATTTGGTTTGTTGCAAAACACAAATTTTGCTGATTACTATATAAATCACACCACATTATGCATTCACACAAATAAAATCTTATAATATACATCAAGTTCATCAGAAACAGAACTCTCTTGATTCAAAATTGACAACATTTAGACTAGTGCACAACCAATGAATAACGTTTCAAAGTATTTCACTTGAGATGCTGAAGATGAATAACTTGGTGATTCAAATTCCAGGATAAGTCCCACTCGGTTGATAAATCATTTGACCACAAGTTTTTTGTTTCACATTTCTCCAGAAGACCAACTCTTAGTTCCTCACATGTTATGTAGAGGTGTTTGAAACCGGTCACAAGGAAACAATTGCACAAATAAAAGAAAGTACACATCCGGTAAAATCTCTATTCACATGCTTCTGCCCCATGTTCCAAGCCAATTGGCAAGCTGAAGATTCAACATCACGAAGGAGTTGGGTCCATGATTTCCTCATTGGGTTCATGTTTTGAATACTGGGTGATAAAGTCCAACAGTTTATGGGAGAAAGGCAATAGAGCTAACCAAGGGTCAGATGATACATGTGGCAAAGATGAGCGCTGGCCGTTATGTGGGTCACTCACCTCTAGCTTTCTGTACATAGCAATGGAATGCACACCATGGAAATTTCATGCCGAAACTGAAGATTCAGTGAAGCTGTACAATCCGACCGAATGTTGAACCTCACTTCGAAACGTCTCACCAAGTGATCCAACTACACACTAAGTGACGGTTCATCTAGATGATACTTTGTTATCTGGGAAGAAGAGATTTTGTTTACTCTCATCACCAACTATCTGAACTGTTGTTGGGTGAATATCCTTCGCAGTGCCTCATTAGGTCTGTAGATCAGCGCAGGTTTGCTGAAAATACTCCTACATGCTATGCTGACATAGCGTTTTAAGGAACTCTTCTAAGGATGCAGACGTGGAATCAAGATCAGATCATATCCTTTGTTGACATAGAAAACATTTGTGTGTTCATAGTAGAAGGTTGTCACATATTGATAACATTTTCAGTACGAGTTTCCAGAAGAACAATTCAGATTGCACAAGGACTGCTTTAGCTCAAGCTACCTACATTGTAAAGAATCTTCAGTGTAAGCTTGAATGCCGCAATTCTTACACGGATGAGCCTCAGCAACACCTTCTACCAGGAAAACATTCCAGTGCAAGGTTCATTTTCATTTCTGATCTCTCCTGGTTGTGCGAGCTCCATAAATTTTACAACTGGAGCGAGACAAATCAAAAGGTATGGTCAAGAGCCTGCGATCTCAGACTCCACACGCCGGAGACTCTACCCTGAACAAGTGCGAGCCATTACAACTCACAGCAATCCATTTCCTCTTGGACATCTTTGCTGACTGGTTCCAATCTTTCACGCATGATACAAGCGTCGCCGTTTCACGAACTGTACTCTAATCATCGTCCTTGTACTCTCGGCGGTCAAGGTACCGGGGCTGAATGCCATTGCCCTGGCAGGTAGTGCACGTCAACGCACCAGAGCCCTCGCAATTGATGCACTTCGAGACTTCTCGCTCCCCCCCACCGAGCTCCACCGTGATGTTACCGGCGCCTACACAGAAACGGCAGACCTGGGAGCCGGTTCCCTTGCACGGGAAACAAGGCTGGTCATTCTCACGAGTCTCAGAGCTTTTCACTTGCGACTCATAGAAGATCGGCACGCCGATACCGACTGCCAAACCAGTAACGCCGACACTGATTGCCACTAAAGTATCCTGGTCGAGCTCCACAGAGCGCACCACCAACGACGAGCTGTTCCCTCTTCTCGCTCTGCTCGTCAATCTCAGTCCATTCTCGCTGAAATTGGCTCCCAATTGTGGCAGGAGAGAGGTCGTCAAAGAAGGCGTTGCAGATGCTGAGGATAACACTAGGCTCACCCCGCAAGGGCACCGGCATGCGAGGGACGACGCCATAGCTAAAACATCAGCTTGTTGGCATCGCTTATGGCTTGAGAATTACTACGCAAACGTTCCCGCTCGCACTAGCTCCCTTTTCTGGCACTCTCAGATGAGGGCCATAGGGCTCTTATCCGACTCCAAGGATCTAGAGCTGGTTCCAATTGTACACCACATGTCGGCTAACGGTTGCGCTACCAGCCTTCGACGTGGGTCCTTATCTCCTCTCATTATTGCAACTCCCATCTCCTCGCATTGCTCTCGTGATTATTGGCTGCAGCTGAAGATTTTCCATCACGGACAAGGAGTTCTACGCCTTGGAATGTTCAGATGACAAGTTAGAATCGTAGGAGTATATTCCTTGCAAATGTGGTGCAATAAAACGTGAACACCTGCAGATTGTGTTGCGTGTCTCAAACAATATACTCTCAAATAACTGAGTATTTTGATGTATGGGTGATCCTATTTTAGTACACGGCCATCCCCTAAGGGCACTCACATGCTGAATTATAAATCTAGATGACGTCAATCTAATGACATTATCAATGTTTCTACAACTGATAACTTACAAAAGCCCCTCTCAAATCCTGCGAGCGAATTCGAGAGAAGTGAGATACTCTGGTGAGAGTGCACACGAGAGTTCTGCAGCCGGAGCTCATAGAACACATTGAAGTTTCGATGAATGAGTTTGGTGTGCTACAAGTTTTAATATTGAGATTATGTGGGGTTTCTTCATATGATGAGTGCAACCGTTAATTTTGTATATGCATGGTTGTTAAATTTGGAGTTGCTACAAGAACAAAGGAGAGGGCAAGAAGCAGTTTCAAATAAACAAGAAGCATATTGATGTGAACAAAAGTAATATGAAACCATGGTAGTATTAGATGTTTAGCTTCTCCATGCTACTAAATTGGTATGTCATTGTGCAATTTATTTTATTTTATTTTATTTTTCTTTTCTTTTGCTATAGATGATGGTAGAATTTTATCACAAAAAAGGTTTGAGGTTGATAAGTGAGTAGAAGTGCAATTAATAGTAGAGTAAACATCACATAGTCATAGATTGGTGTCAAGAAAGTCACATAAGATATAAGATATCTAGTATGGGTATAGACCAAGGCTCTATTAAACATAGGTAGATTATGAGAAGCAAATTAAGGATTATTTTAGGAAAAAGCATAGAAGCTTTAAACAAGTAGAAAAAACATTGGCTAAGAGGCAAATAAGGTATATCAGATATTTCAGCAAGGCCAACTAGAGTTCTATTATACATGAATTCTATGTGATATAAGAGCTTTGTGAATAAGTTTGTCTAATTTTCTTGTGAAGAATAAAATTCATTTGATTTTTTTATCTTTTAATTTTTAAAAGTATTGGTGTTAAATTTCAAAATATTTGATTTGGGCATGCATGATGGAATTTTTAACTAGACAAATATTACTAATATTATTATAAGAAATAAATATTGGTTTTTAAGATCTAATTTGGAGTTCTTTGAAGCGACAATAAAAATAAGTGTTATAGATATAACTAATATTAGAAATTACTTAGATAAAAAGAGCTAGGTAGAAGTGAATAAAATAAATAAATATGTATATTTAAGAAGAAATTGGAATGACTATTACTGAAGACTAGGAAAATAGATGCTCTTGAAAGTAGACAAGTAAGAAAGGAGTTGACAAGAGTGATGAAGGTCTCATTCTTGTCTCTATATATAGTATCTAACTAAGAGCTATGTAGTGACATTCTATATGACCTTAGATACATGTGTAGTTCATAAGACAAGTTTTTTATATGTGTGGCACATGGTCAACTTTTTGGCCAAGTTTTCAACTTATTAATCATATACATATACATATATAGTCAAATTTGCATCTATAAAGCTTCTAAGAAGCTTGTTTATAAGATATTACATTATTTACCTATTTTTCTTAATTTCTACTTAATTCTTCTTATTTAGGTAATTTTTAGTGTTGATCATGTTTGTTCTTATATTGTATTTTATCTTACTTGAGAATGCTCTAAACACTTGGTTGTGGAAGGTAAATTTGAAATTGTAACAATAAAGATCCTAATAATTCTAAATAAATCTTAAATAAATTCTAAATAAACTTCAATAATCTTAATCAAATCTTAATCAATTCTTCAATTAATTTTTTTTAAAATTATAATACATAATTGTGAAGAAATCATTAAATGTTTTAAAAAAATATTAAAAATAAAATAAAATAAAATAAAATAAAAATTCCAAAAAATAAAAAATCCTAAGTAAATTCTAAGTAGATCCTAAATAGATTCTAATTAAAACTTAATATAGTCCTATATAAATTCTAACGAATCCTAATGAAATTTTAAAAAAAATCCTAATATAGTCCTAAATAACTTCTAAATAAAATCTAATAAAATCTTTAAAAAATATTACATAAATTCTAACCAAATACTAATGGAATTCTAAATAGACTCTAAGTAAACTTCAAATAAATCATAACAAATTCTTATAGTTGTTTTAAAATCTTAATTATTATTAATTAAACCATTGATTTTGACTATTTTTCTTCAAACAAACAAGTATACAAAGTTCGAAAAAAATCAAGCACACCAATTGGAGGAAAAAGCTTTTAATACTCTTGAGTATCAATTGTCTTCCTTTTCTAACCTAGATGTTGATCTTCTAATTAAAATTACTCCTTTTTGAAACATTTAATTGCTTTCTAAATTAATAAAAGTGTAGATATCTAAGCCTAATATGCTCTCATAATTTTCTTTTACAATTAAACTGGCAAGTTTTCCAACATTATAGAAAATCTCATTGACCTAGAAATTTATATATCTCAGATATTAATCCAATCAAACTTCCATATCCTTCAATCCAATTGTTTGATTAACTTCAAATTTACAAAATACATTTAAGACAAGAACATTTTAGAATCTACAAAATTTCACTTTTATACCTACTATAATATTCACAAAATTTTCAAATATGTAAGCTTCTTTTTATATTTCAAAATCTAAAATCATTGAATACATCTCTTTTTTTGAAAAACTCTCAAAACCTCAATATGCATCCAAATTACTTCAAGCCAATGCTTAAACAACCATCTTTAAGTTTGCTTCCTAACTTTGCTATCCAATCAACAAAAGAACCCCTAACAAGTCATAGGTGCTAGTTTTGTGCCTTGAGGTCTAATTTTGATCCTAGATTATAATCAGTCCATATTGGATATCAATTCTTTGCTTCTTAATTTAGAATTGAATGTTAAGATAATATTTGGCATGAATTGAGTCCATTATTTTAAAGGTGCCCATCATGCTTTGCTTGAGTTGTTGAATGCATTGGTCACCATTTCTTATTACAAGAAATTTGTGTACATAAAGAAGCATAATAGTATATTAAGCATCATATATTTTTTAAACAAGAAATTAAGATCTTAATTGCTACAAAGTAATCCAAATTGACAAAGAAATAAAATTAATTGTTGAAACAATTTCCTACAGAGTTGCATATTATAAGTTTTTATGTATTATTAGCTGATATTAAATGTCTTCATAAAAATTTCCAAGTTTTTCCAAAGATAATTGTTTAAATTCCTTATGTCAATTACTTTTTTTAATGCTTAATACAAATTTGATTAATATATTCTTACTTAATACCACAAGATAAGCATTAACTGCAAAAAGCATAATTCTTATTCCAACTCTTAAGAAGATATAAGTATGTAGAATAATTTTATGTTCCTGCAAATCATGTGGAATAATTTGAATTATTATTTTTTTTAATTTTATTGTTGCACCTTCACAATCTTTTTAAAATAGCTTTTTTAAAAATAAAATGAAACGAAATTCCATTTTCTTTTACAATAAAATTATATAAAAATTTGTTACAGTTTTAAAGTTTGTTTGAGATTTTAAAATTCAAACAAATTTCTAAGTAACTTTTTTTTGTAATATCAGGTGCATACATACATACTGAGAAATTAAAAAGTATTAATAAAACTAAAGAAATATATATATATATATATATATATATATATATATAAATTACAAAAAAAATGTGTTTAATTGTTTAAAATTATACTTTTAAAAAAAAAACATCCAAGTATTTTTGGAATCGTGATACAGTTTTGTAATTAAGTTCATGGATGTAAATGTTGGCAATCCAAACACGATATTGAAACTAGAATGTCTGGAATTAAAAATTATGTCCAGCGCACTTAAATATTTTAGTGTTACAAACCATTACAAATGCATAATAACCACGACAGTAACTAAACATATGAATCTATATTTAAAAAAAATTGAAAAAGAAAAAATGAAAAGAGAAAACACATGCATACTTTCCATTTCAATACAACTACTACGAACTATATTTTTGGGTTGTTAAGAAAGTGATGTTAAAATCACTGGGGTCAAATTAACAACAAATACCTGATTTTGTACACAAAAAAGATTCATTTTGTACAGCAAGCTTTCTTCCCTACCGATAACTTTGCAAAAACCTGACAGCAAATGTGAGGGTAACCCACAGTAGAGGAATTCCCAGTGGCAGAATTCATGTTGCCTTGCACCTGATGTAAGCGATGCTGGAACAGGGAGGTTGATAAAATCAGAAGCGATCAAATGCGCACAGTGCAGTCAGACAGGAGCTGCCAAAGATGAAAGCGATCTAGTTGCAATTCTTTCTGAACTCATACGGCCAAGTCTAAATAAATCCCAAGTTTCTAACAATGGAGTTTTGATCCAATTAAATGACACTCATTCCAATTTACTAGCTTCACCTCACCAGCAACGTCTCCAGCACATCAAGTCGATTGATACACCCTCACCAAGTTTTCCACAGAATCATGCACAAAATGCATGATGGATTCACTTCATTGTCTCCAACTTCGACATCGACCATAGAAACTAAAAATGTTCTTGACAAACAACAAATCTCCTGCATGTCGTCTGGAGCATTCTTTCTGATCAATATAGCGAACATAACTCTGAGGAACCTACGGAATCTCCAAATCGAATGTGGGGGATGGAAGTGAGCATGATAGATTACACCTGTCATCAAAGCGACAAAACGTAATCCTTCAATGAATGTATACACCGGCTGCTCAGCATAACCCTGGATATCTCTTGTAAGTGCGTATATACACCGAGCGGCATCAGGTTTGAGGCAGTAACTACTAATCAAGAGAAAAATGACATCGATCTACAATGAAAGAGAGGCAGCACGGCTCCATCTTGTTTCAAATTCGCCTTGACTTATTAGGAGGCTGGTAATGACCAGGGTAGCCCACGTTGGTCTGGTCCTTTCTTCTGAGACCCTGCTGCTGCTGCGGTTGCTGCTGGGGCACAGTTGCATTACCTCTCTGAATATACATATTGCTGCTACTGTTCATACCATGCATTCCAACAGGTTGATTGACACTCAGGGTGTTTGAGTTTTGAATCCGGTGCTGTTGTTGCATGTTGACGTTCATAGATGGGTGCAGTTGATTTGAACTCCCTGACATGTTTGAGGAGTTAGGCATCTGTGAAGGAGGTGGGGCAGTTGTGCCATCGAAGTCTGTTGAATAATCCACGGGGCGCTGAGGATAAGGCACTACCTGGCAAAAATCCATAGAAATAAGTTTGTGAGCACCACAAAGTTGCAGCACGAGAAAAACAAGCGATGAAAATGGGTAGTCTAATACTGCATATGTGATCACCCAGCACTTCTAGTTCTATATCAGATGCGTCCTGCTTGTAAGGTCCAAATGTGCTAGGGTTTCTCCGAAAATCTCCCGTGCTGTACATGGAAGACCAGAAGAGCACGTGCAGAGATACCGAGTCGTCTCAGAAGGAGAACCAACCAAAGTTCTCAAAGATTGAGAAGATTTTGACCAATTTCAACTCTATTAACAACCACTCCTGCTTGACACACTAAAAGCCAAACGGTAGGAGCAAAGAACTTGAGACAAGTCCTTTAAGAAGGGCAAAGGATAAGGCTGAGGGAAAGCACTGAGGGTTTGCTTTGTAAGCTTTCTTCTAACTGTTCTAGCACGAGGAGGAAAAGATGACCAAGGTTATGCGGTCCGAAACATTAAATCAAACAAAACATCTTTGCTGTTACAGTTCGAATTGTTGGGCTAATATTGACAACTATTAAAGAAACATTAAAGCAGGCTCGAATCTTCCAAGTTGGAGGGAGGGGCAAAACATTACCTTACTGAAAAAAGCTGTCAGGAACACCTTAAAAGTGCATAACAGTACATTAGAAAGAAGAAATACAAATTCGTATTACCTTGTCTGCTGAATTTGCTGGAACGAGGGAATTGCGCCCTGGAATAGGATCATTTCGAAAATACTCATGCTCTAATGCTTGCGCCGCGGTGATCCGTTTAATGGGATCGTACTCCAGCATTTTCGACAACAAATCAAACCCAGGACTTTTTGGTGGCAACTGTACAATGCTATAAAAGCCTGGGTTGTCATACTTCCGAGATTGGATAGATTGGCGGTTTTGCGCCCAATGTGGCAGCGTGGTGAGTGTCGGCCACTTATCCGCAGTAGGATTGCCAAGGACTTTGAAGATCTTGTCCAACTGATCAAACTGGAACGGACTGGGACTGCTTTTGTCTTCAATTCCCTGAAACGAAAAATTACATGATCGCCAACTACTTTGAAAGCGAAATACGAGTGAAAACCGAATGTCTAGAAATCACAAAAACGAGCTTTCCAGCGTCACGTGAGGTTTCTCTCAGTTTTTGAAGCACAAACAACCATGCAACCTGTTACAGGGTTTCTTGCAGACAAGAGACAAAGATGAATAGGAAATACCTGAAAGAGGGGTTTGAGAGTGAGAAGCTCCGCAAAGATACACCCAACGGCCCACATATCGACAGCGCTTGTGTAATGCTTGCTTCCGAGTAGCAGCTCTGGAGCCCTATACCAGATGGTAACCACCACACCATTGTCACTCAAGGGCCGCGACGGTGCCTGAAAGATGCGAGCCAGGCCAAAGTCCCCGATCTTCACTACTCCTTGCTCTTCGCCTTCTCCCATTACCAGAATATTGGAGGGTTTCAAATCACGGTGGATAATCCAGTTGCTATGAAGATAGTTCAAGCCATTGAGAATCTGCCAAAGCAGAGATTTCACCGTGTACGGGTTGATACTGCAGGTTACCTTCTCCCGATGGTGTCGAATTATTTCGTACAGGTCATGCTCAGCGTAGTCGAACGCTAGATACAACGACATATCGCCATGGTTGATGTGGACATTCACAAGCTTCACAATGTTCTCGTGTACGCATTCCCGCAACAGCATAATCTCCCGGATTGCTGTCGGGGAAACGCCATCGCCCTCTTTAGACTGCTTGAATTTCTTAATCGCAATTTTAGTGCCCCTGCTATTTGCACCAAAAGACAACAATGTAACAAACTCACAAAACTCGGATCACACATGTGACGCGAACACCCTAAATGAGTTACTAACGCGACATGCACGACCTTGCGCCCAGAAAATTACAAGCCATCCTTACAACCAAACAATTCCTCTGCTTCTATAGATGTCCCACAAAGCTGGGAACGAACCTACAGAGTACCCAACAACCATAAACCCACCTGTGCGCCGGCTCTTTGCTCCTCGCGAGATAAACCAGTCCATACGTTCCTTCCCCAATCTTCCCCACCAATTCATACTGCTGCAACCACTCCGGCCGTGTCCGCTGTTTGACGGATCCATTCGCCACCATCCCTAAACCGCTCCACTTAACACTTACACCCGAATACTCAATCTTGTAACCTCAACCATCGATTATCAGACACAAAACCTACCTCAACAACAAACACCAGTCTCCACTCCATCCAGAGGCTTCCACCATCACCCTCCCAACTTCACAACCACGACGCATCCAGATGCACGACCATTCTCAATAAACTCGTACGTTATCCTTGCATTCCATCATAGCGCACACATTTCAAACCAACACATACTCTGCTAAGTTTATAAATCGTCACGTTGCGGACTACATCGAGACGGTTAAGTGGAGCCCGACCGGAACTCAACGAAGCCGTCGGTCGCGGCACTTTGATGATTGAAGTTTTTCCCGGTTCTCTATAAATGAAGCAAATTCCTTACAGAATCAGATGCGCCTGTGCCGCCTGCTTGTAGCTCAAGCATCTTTCGCATGCGGCATGCCCCAACTTTTCATGTCGGTAGAGTAGTAACTCATCCTCCATTTTTACTTTCAAATAATAATTTACGGAACTTCTAATGTCCACTTCCGAAACTCTAGGGTTTCCTTCGGTAAGTGACGAAACAACCTGAAATGCACTATGGAAGCGACAGTCTTAGGTGGTGCCTTCGGTGCTTAAATGATTGACAGTTTATTGATTTCGTTTCTCTTTCGCGAAATTAGCAGTTAAAGCATTTATCAAGACATGAAAGAATCACACATTATATTTTAAAGGATTGATGCAAATTAGGTCGCTGCTTTACCAATTAAAAATTTACACATCACCAGCTCGGGTCTGGGCAGACTAGTAAGACTGTCTTAGATGACAATCAGTGAATGATCTAGAGAAGGACGAGACTCGGGAGGGCTCTTTGAACGTTTGATTATGAAAGAGTTCATGCGTTTGGAGTCGAGATGATCAAACGGTGGATCTTTGAAATGGCGAGCTTTCAGAAGCAAGATCAGTGCAAAGTGATGTAATTAGGAAGACCCCATGGCTGATAACCTAAAGCGAGCGCTAGCTTCCCAAGCGCTTCTGTTTCGATGGCTTTCTGGAAAGGGACGGGCATAAAGACGAGCCCCTCTCGGTGCAAGCGCGCGCGAACCAGCAAGACGGTGCCTCCAACAGAATCCAATTTCACTATACTCTCGTTACTTCCTCGGAGATTGCCTAGACTGATTCGCCCAGTTGAGTAGGCCGGGTAACCTTCAAACACCACCACCTCTTGGGTTCTCTCCAAAAACTTCGTCGACTCCTCAGTTTCTCGCCAGCTGTTGCGATCGTAGGGATGTTCCTCACCCTCCTCATCTCTCCAAAAACTGTTTGGGACGATGATGTGCTTATCTGGACCGGTGAACACTAAAAGATCCTCAATCAAAGAGGGTGAGTACTCCGAGATGTCCGAGTCTATCCAGAGCACCCAGTCATGGTGAGGTCGTAGTGCCGAGAACAAAAGGTAGTTTCGACTCTTGGCTAACACCCTGCGTCGTTGAATCTGGTAGCGCATGGCGTGAGTGTCCAGCCAACTATTTCCCGGATTATAATTGAAGTTTTGATGTACCAAGGTTACGTCGCGGTACTTCTCGGTATGATTCGTGATTGATAGCTTGCGCTCTACGAAGTGGTCGCGGACGCATTCATAGGTTCCATCCGGACTGTCGGAGACTAGAAACCCTAGCGAGATTGAGTTTTTAGGGTAGGAAAGCGAGTGGAGTAGGGTGAAGTATCTGCTAATGTGATCTTTCACTTGTTTCATTGGGGAGAGGATCAAGACATTGGGCAACGTAGTGCGCAATAAATCAGATCCCGCTACCTCGTCTGATGATAGAGGAATCTCAGTAAGCACCTCCAATGGCTGCGGGTGTATCCATCGGTTTGATGCACCCTGTCAATCATATGCAATCGCTCAAACCTTGTCACTCGTAAGGAAAAAGTACTGTACAGATTCATACAGATCGTTGACAGTTAAAGCCAAAACTACCGAAGTTTACATTCAAAGAAGAGGCTCAGACTTACCAGCCCCTCATTGTCTTCGTGTGATCGCTGGCCTCCATAAGAACTCAAGTTCTGACCCCAAACTGGTGAGCCGAAGCCGGAGAAAAGAAACAGCAACCATAGGGTACTGACACCAATTGCTGCAACGAAGAATACCTTTTTTTGGATAACCATGGCTTAACGATAGTCTCTGCATTCCCTGCACGTGAACCAAAAAAAGAAATTCTCAGTTTGAATTGCTCCGAGTGTCGCTCCATAGTTGAAAACGCTGTCGGCAAAAACTACCCATACGGACTTGAATGTAAAGGAGCAAGAGATCCGTTAGCCGCTTACAAGCCCGACCAACAACAGAATGATATGGCCCTAGTCGAACCAGTGACGCTTATGGTGCCATATCGATGTGATACGGTAGACATTATACGCCAGACTTCGTTTGCGTTCAGGTTTCAATTCCAGCCCTATCCGCCGTTGTCGATTCTAACAAAATCTTATCACTCCTCACCCTCAGATTTCGGAACGTTAGATTTAGACGCATATCTAAAACGCAGCAGTAACTGGAACTTGCACACATTACTTATTATGTGTCAATTACCTTGATTCGAATGCCAACGAAGCCGCAAGGTAAAGTTAGGTCAACTTAATTCTCATCAGCATGAATAAATTGAGAATTGTGGGTGCGAGCAGTAACAAGTGCCTGGAATGCATGCAAGAAAAATATATGGAAAGAGATAACTATCACTAATGTTCTTACATCTGCTTATACGTTGCTAGCTTGTCACCGACAGCGCCTCGTCTGGACATCCTGAATGTTGAATAAAGTTACAAAGGCTTTGGCATGTCCTACTTGCGCCCAACTGCACGAAACTAAGTGCTCCTGGTACTGTCACTTCATGCTCCAATTCTTTCCTTTGTCAATTATAATACGATACTGTCAGAGTAGGAATAATTCATCGAGACAGAGCCTAAAGTTAGTATCACCTGGAAAATAATTTTCAAATACTAGGACAAAGAGAAAGAGTACTTTAGAAAATCAATTTGCAAGGAGCCGATCGCACAACCACAAAGGAAAATCCAGCAATCGATTTCCCAGATCTTGAAATGTCAAGAAAACCAATAACCTGGTAAGCAACCAGATGGGTAACGTTAGGCTTCTACACTCACACGACAGCTTCGAAGTGGAAACGGGGCCAAGCCTTGAGCGTGGGGCTGAGAGGTCAACACCGGAGAGTCAAAATCCAGCAATATACACCGTAATCAAGCCAAAATTTTCAACAGAAATGGCAGATTGATGGACTTTACAGTGCCTGATTATTTTAGAGTGTGCGGAATATTTCCTTACAACGATGTGTTATTTTTGGGGTAACAAGAGACTGCGGAGAGGAAATTGATAACCTGAGAAGGCTACGATACCCGCGGAGAAGCGAGTGCCACGGTATCATGAGGATCTGATTACCCCACACGGTGGAATTGCTTGGACGCTCAGGCTGGCTGTTGGGGCCCTGCCGTTGCAGATGTTCCCCAACTTTCAGGATCCTCGTCTGGTGTTTTATCTCTGATTGAATCCCTGTAACGCTAGAGAGAGGAGCTTGGGTGAGTCTCAGACTGTTGCGATGAGCGGGATCATTTGCACATTTGGGTGGCTTCTGTGTTGGTGGAGTTAAATCCTGCGGGAGTAACGGTCCGCATGCGGTCCTTGGCGTGGCCCAGCGGGGGCAAGTTGAAGATGTGAGTTGCTGAATCTTCCTTGGTCTGAGTTGGATGCCATAATTTCGGTTGTAGACGGTGGGATTTGGGTGCGGAAATCGAGGGAATTTTGCGTAACCTAGGACTCTGTTTCTTTGACATAATGCAGTTGCTTCATGGTCAAGATTTTGTAGATCCACAGCAGAGGAGGTGCATGGCTAGGGTATTCGGTGTTTTATTTGTGAGTAGAGCGCTTAGAGGGTGGTCGCCATTTTGTAGAGAGCTTCGAGTTTATGGAATTGGTTTGTTTTGGTTAAATGGTAAAAAAGAAACTCTGTAATGAAAATGGGATGAGCATCAAATGTCTGAGGGGGCCTGAAGAAGATTCGAAACGTAGGGAATCACAGAATGGAATGGATCCTTTGGTTTATTGGGATAGGAAAGCATGATGGCAATTCATAAGGTGCAAGAGCTTCGGTGGAAAGAACTAAGATGTTAAGTATAAAGAGCATCAAGCACCTGCCATGTTGTGTTGCACATGCTCCAGAAATAAAAGTAAATCCAACGACGCGATGCCTGAGGGTGGAAGTCTGCCTGAGCTTGCGTCTCGCGAACTTTCGAGAAAGCTTCTTGAGGGGGAAGCCAAGCTCGAGCAAGGCAGTTTTGAGGAAGCTGAAGTCTCTCTCCGTGAAGCTCTATCTATCAACAACGAGGTATATCTATCCATAACACATCACTATTTTCTCGCACGAAATCCTCATGCTTTATCGCAATGAATGGTGTATTCTTTGTTAAAACCCCAGTTCCCAGAGCGGCGCCTTGCACGTCTTTTAACCAATTTTAAAGTGAGATTTTTTTTTCAGGTTCCAAATAGCTTGCCTGATCCCCTCTGTACGACACAAGGTCGCCGTTTACTCCCACCCTATTTGCATGTTACATGACTAGGATTTGTGGAGACTTTGCAGGAGGCTCGGGCTTTACTAGGGAGAATTGAGTATCAAAAAGAAAATTTTCAAGGTGCTCTACAATTGTTCGATGGAATACATTTACGTGGGCTTGCTGATAGCTTGCGTTACTTTGCATCAGCAGAGAAGACATCATCACGCAGCCAAAAGAAAGGGAAACAACAAAAGCCTGGCACGGCCACCAACTTCCTGCATGCATCCAGTTTGCTGATAGAAGCAATCTATCTGAAAGCCAAATGTTTTCAGAAGCTTGGTGCTCTTGAAGGTGAACCCTCAGACATCCCATTAGTTTTGTTCCGTCTCCATTTGGCCCTTGGAATGGCTTCACTATTCCGATCATAGCTTGACTTTGGAGTTGTCATTACGCTAAGCTGAAAATAAGTGCTTTGCAGATGCTGCAAATGAGTGCAAAGTTGTACTTGACTTGATGGAGGAGGCATTTCCAGAGGGTATGCCGAGTACTTGGGGTGACGAAAAAATAGCCATGTTGGTGAACAAGATGTCGATTTTGCATCCTCAGCTGCTTGCTCAAGAAGGACGCAATGATCGAGCTGTACCAGCCTATCGCCAGGCACTGCTCAGTACGTGGGGTCCTAACGAGGACACACACGCAGCACTGCAAAAGGAGTTCGCCATCCTATTGTTGTATGGAGGTGTGGATGCCTCATCATCCACGCAGTCTCCTCCTGGTTCAAGAGATGGTGGATATTTTCCCAAGAACAACACAGAAGAGGCCATTCTGCTGCTGCTACTTCTATTGCGACGAAATATCATGTCTAAAAGTGTTTTTGATAACAGTATTCTGGATCACCTGTCTTTTGCCCTTTCAGTTCATGGTCAATCTGAGGTGTTAGCTCACCAATATGAGGAGCTGCTGCCAAGCACTATGCCTAGGACAGACCGTTGGTACAACATGGCTCTTTGTTATTGTGGAGCAGGGGAGGATGATGTGGCTCTAAATCTACTCCGGAAGTCTCTAAGCCCAGTGGAGAGGCCAGATGATGTTGCTGCCCTGCTTTTGGCTGCGAGGATTTGTGCGGCAAGAATAGACCTTGCGGTGGAGGGAGTTGGTTATGCACAGAGAGCATTAGAACATTTGTCCCCCGAACTTATGTACATGAAAAGCCGTGCTCTTCACATCTTAGGTGTGTCGTTTGGTACCCAGGCTCGGTTTGCGTCATCAGATTCTGAAAGGGGAAAACTTCAACATCAAGCTCTGGAAGCTTTACAGGTATATCAGTCAGCGTTGTTCTCCTTTTGTAACATCCAGTATTTGACCATGACCGGAAGCTAATTTTGTATGTTTCTCATCACTACTTGGTTTGCGTAGTAGAACCTAACTGATCAATAGGTGTGGACAGATCTTTCTATTTCAATTTATTTTTAAACCAAACCTTAGTAGTTGAATTTGAATCAAACGCCGCTCCCAGTATTTTGGAGGGTCTTGATTGTGTGGCTTTTCATCGTCCTTGAGTTCCTTTCAAATATTTTTTTTGCATGTACGAATATGCAAAATATTGGATATACCAAACTGATGAGTGTTCGTCTGGTAGCTGAATACAAATTTTTAGCTGAGCAAATACGTTGACTTTGTTCGAAGTGTTATGATTTCAGTAAATGGGAAGTTTTTGCACTTTTTAAGTCACTGCACAGCACCAATGTTTCTGATCTCCAATGGGGAAATTTTGGCCCAGGAAGCAGCTGCTTTGGAGAGTGAAGACCCGAGGATAGTATTTGATTTAGGTTTAGAATATGCTATGCAACGTCAGCTTAGCAGAGCACTTGATTGTGCAAAGCAGTTCCTGGACATCAGCAGTGGAGCATGGGTAGAGGGTTGGAGGTTTTTCGCGTTGCTTTTGACAGCGCAGGAAAGACACGCTGAGGCGGAGTTAGTGCTCGAAGCTGCATTAGAAGAGAGTAGTCCTTGGCAGCAGGGACGTCTTTTACAAACACGAGCCAAAATTCAGATGGCTGTGGGCCAGCCCCTTCGCGCTGTCCATACCTATAGGCAGTTGTTAACTTTGGTGCAAGCCAGTCACCAGAGTTTTAGCTTTGAGGCTTGGAATTGGCAGAAGAATAAGGTTAAATTCAGCCATCATTGAGTTTTCATATGTATGGTGCTTGAACACGCAGTAGTCATGAGCTTGAGGGTTAGATCATCCTTCCCTGTTGAAAATCGTAGACTCGATGGAGTGTTTACTTCACCGCCTTTCAATGTTAAAGCTAGCAGATATGAAATGGGTTTGTCTCTGGGTCCATGTAGATTTCTTAGTGGTTTTAAAAGTAGGTCGCAGATGATGCTATGCCAATGATCTCACATTATAATTTATGCTGCACAGGCTGCAGGGAGAGTGGAAGAGGTAGAGGTGTGGCAAGATTTGGCAACTGTGTATACCGAATTGAAGCAATGGAGGGATGCTGAAACCTGCTTGGAGAAAGCTCAAGCTTTGAAAACCTACTCCACTGTCACATGGTGTGCCACTGGTGAGGGATTTCACTGTTCACTTCGCATCACATCCAATGTATCAAAGGTGCATCGTAACTTATGAACCAACCAATTTTTATATACATATTTGTTTCCACAACTTGATGAATATGTTTCATTCTACAGGGAAGCTTCATGAGGCTCAGGAACATTTAGAGGAGGCCTTAGCAAGCTATAAAAATGCCTTAGCTGTTGATGCAACTCACGTTGACAGCAAGGTGCGGTTAGGAGCTCTTCTCCGAGAGAGAGGTAGTAAACATTCACTGCCAGTAGCTCGCAGTTACTTGGCAGAGGCTTTACAAGCTGATCCTACGCATGAGGAGGCCTGGTTGCAGATGGGCCTATTGCACAAGGCGGAAGGTCACACACAAGAAGCTATTGAATGCTTTCAAGCTGCCGTGCAGTTGGAACAGACATCACCTGTGGTTCCGTTCAGCTCCATACTTCCAGCATTGGCTTGGTGAGCGCTGCAGAAGTGGGTTGTTACGCACATATACTTTCAGAAGGTGCTTGAGCTGGTTTCAACCTTCCAAACAACCCTATGTTGGGTTACAAATCATTATTAAGTTGGCATTCTTTTCTGAAGGTCTTCTTTTTCAGAGAAAGAGGAGACTAATTTTCTTGTAATCAACATAATTGGATGGCGCTTTTTTGTATTCTGATTTGGTTAATAACGTGGAATAAATTTTTAGGATATGCTGATCTGTCATGTTTCTGACAATGCGAGTGCTCTCTACTCAAAACGCCTTGATTTACTGAGTGGTTGCCTTTCATCCAGCCTCTGCTCTTTTAGTGACACGAGATTATTTTGTGGCTGGTATATTAGTTCTTGACAATTGAGAAGTAGTTGTATTGGTAATTTGCTTCACCTTCTAAATGTATATCTGCGCAACTAAGTAATTTGTAGTTGTTTCTGTGACGTAAACCGGCCAGTAAAAATGGGTTCTTGTGTTGGCAGCGGCATCTAAAGATGCAATCATTGAGGACGAAATTTTAGATGTTCATGAGCAAGATGTTATTACTAATTTGAGAACTCGTAACAATCTGATGTAACTCTATCACCAATGTAAATGTGAAATTGGCTCGGAGTTTTACCCCCGTGATCAGCTCTTGTATAAGATTAGTCCACCAATTCTTGAAGCATAAAGCAAGACACCGGTGAACAATCTATAATGTTAATTAATAGATGAAGTCACGAAGTAAAACTAAACTGCATGACCTAAAGGTCGGGTCATGAATAAAGCACTCAATAAGGTTCCAAGCTCCCTCTCTTGAAGACGATTTCAGCAACTGTAGTCAGTATGCAGTGGAACCTGTAGGCATCCAATCAGTTTGCTGCCCAGAGTGGGCCAATTAGTGCTCTCAAGGTCCACTGCTTGAATTTTGACACTAATCATTGAATACAATGTTTTTCATTAGAATTTCGGTTCCAATTGCAGATGTGATTTGTTTCAGTTTTTAAAACTATAAAGTTGTGCAATAGTTAAGAGTAATTTGAGTCTTAAGACTGGATTCTAAAAAATAACAATGATACAAAATAAAAACATCATTTAAAAGGAATTGTGTTTTCTTGGCTTTAAATTCAAGTTTATTACAAGGAATTGCTTTTTTTTAGTAGTACTATCATTTAATAATAATCATTATTATGTTAAGTTATAAAACTTAAACTAATATGTAACAACTAATGCCTTAAATATTTTTCTTTAATACAAACTTTAACTGCAATGTTAATTTTTTATATGGTTCTGGATATTGTGGCACTTGGAATTTGTCATCTACCATATAACAAAGAGTTTTGCATTGAAAAAATCTTCTGTAACTTATTATGTCAATAATTTACCTTAAGAAGTGATGCTTAGGAGTATATCTTTGCTCGTATTAACTTTGTTCAAAATAAAACAAAAATACCAGCTATATTTAAATTGTGTTCTTTTGATTCTTAAATTTTCACATATATATATATATATATATACACATAAATAAATTTATATGAATATATTGGCAGATAGCAATCACAATATTCTACCACAACATGTTAATGTCCTTTTATTATTTTTATATGAAAACATTCCTAGAAGAGTCAAATGTCTCTTACACCTAATTAGCAATCGTGGGGTCTATTTTCTAAATAAAATACTTAAAACGTGATCAACCAATTCTTTTCAGAATACACAACATCAATTATATATTTTTTGCAATGAAGTATTTGAAAAAATCTAGAAAAAAAAACTCTTGTGAAGATATTCAAAAAAATTGTAACTAACAAGTGATCAAAATGAAATAAATATTTACCTACAAAACTATTTGGGCACTGAACAACAAAATAGGTAACAACTAGTTTTTTCTTATTTTTATTGGTATATTACTTCCTCTTCCAATACCCTATATATTGCATTTTATCATCAAACTAAGTGCAAAAAATCATACAATGAATTCCAGTAAGTACTTATAATTGTTTAAGCAAATTTTATCAAGCTAATTGTAGACTAGTTTGAAAGGACCAATAACTCATAGATTATTTTAAAAAATATATAAAATAGAAAATAAATAAATACTTAAATAAGAAAGCTGTGTACACGGTTTCAAAAAAAAAGTCTATTGCTATTCAAATAAATATAAGCACCAATGGTATATTTTGTACCGAATTCAATGTATACCACTTAATATATATATATATATATATATATATATATTCTTACTTTGAGAAAGAAATTCTCAGGAGTGTAAATGGAAACAATCAAATCAAATTTTCAATGAAAGACATAGTAAAACAATCAAAATTTTAGTTTTAAGATAAGATACAAAAAAGTAAAATAAAACATTAATTTGGAAAAAAAGATATTTGATTGATTTTTATGATAAAAAATACAAGTGCCACTACTACAACTGGTTTTCTTGTGAAAATTATCATAATACAAAAGAAAGAAAAGAACATGTGAACTTAACCTAAAAATATTTTTTTCTATTTTTTGTTTACTTTTCTTTACAATATAATAAGTTATTAGCTCAATTAAGACATAGTTAATGTTCAAAACCATCATAAAAATTTCATAATTTTGTAACGAATTATTTTTTGATGAGAACAAAATATAAAATATATAAGATTAATATTAAAGCTTTAAAAAAATAATTCAGCATTGAGACATGAATAATTTATCAACCACAAAAATTCTATTATGTTTTTTGGATAAAAAATATTACTAGATATTAAAGTATTGAAATTAAATTAATTAGATATTGTGAAAAAAAAATTCAAAAACCAAAATATTAAAAGTTTACATACCAAATTATAAATCATATTATTAATTATTAAAAGCACCAGTTTAAGTATTAAGCTAATATATATATGTTAAAAGTGCAAGAGTAGCAATAACATGTAGGTATAACTTGGACCAGTAAGACCAATCTAATTAGTATGTCAACTTTTTCTATCAACTATATATATATATATATATATATATATAATTTATTTAAGATTTTATGGAAATTATTTATGAAGTTATGATATGCTAAACAGTTACATGTTTGCAATCAAGATTTTTTTTTATAACTTTTAAATTTATTAAATAAACCTCTAACTTTGTATATATATATATATATATATATATATAAATTACCTATTATATACATGTATAGAAGTTAAGTTAGAAGACTTTACTTATCTAAGGTAGATAAAAAAAAGCAAAGATATTGGACAAATCTATGAGTTCTTTATTATTTAAAAAAAAACTATTCCTAGACTAGTATAAGATAAAAAATATTAAAAATAAAAAGTAGAAAAAAACTATGCAATTAGTAATTATTATTTTAAACAATCATTGAAAAATATCAATGATATTCTTATATAAATTGATAAAATATTGTATTGTGTAAATAAAGATTGTGTTATACAATAAATCAAGTGCCAAAAATCAACATGAAGCATGTTGTCTAAACCAAATACAAATACACAAGAAATACAGTCTCAAGAAAAGATAGAAAATCTAAACACCATTTATTCAAGCTATCTCTCACACTACAAAGTGAGCATCTAAGAGTGCAAGTGTATATAGAGAAAACTCTAAAAACCTTACTAAAAGGCTATCACCATAGCCAAGCAAAATCTTACAACAAAGGCTTTTTTTCTCTAAAAACTACTTACAAGACTTGACTAGACAAGAATGTAAAGTCAAAGGAATTTCTCCACCTAATTCTTTAAACTTTAGATGACACTAACTAGTTCAATTAATGGAAAATGCTAAGTGTATGAAAATTCACTAAACTAAACCAAATTACATCCATTTGAAGGGATTTGATATCCAATGCAACATTACATGACAATTGTTTTAATAAAAAAATCCAAAAGCTCTTGAAATTAAAAAAATAATTATGGTTTATGATAAGATGAATATATTTAATAAATTACAAAAGATGTAACTCTTATAGAAAAAAAATAAATTAATGGAAATAGAATTTTAATACTTAATTCTATTCTAGTCTATTTATTTATTTATAATTATAAATCAGGAATAATAGAGTATGTTTTTTCTATTAATATAAAAATATATTATAAATAACTAGTCTAAATAATCTAACGTAAAAAACAATTGAAAAATATATTTAAAGTTTGATTTTATCTTAAGCATCTTTTAAGTAAATTCCAAAGCTTTGACTATTACACTAAATATTTAAGAAATAATTCTCTTTGATGTTCTTAATTTTTTTAAAAAATTAGAATATATATATATATATATATATATATATATATATGCATTATTTTTTAAAACTATATTAAGAAATTAACTTTATTATTATTTTTTTAAAGATATTTTATAAACTTAAGTCTTAAGCAAGTTACATAAGTCTGCTTTTCTATTGTATTAAGATTTGCTAAAACTATGTACTTGTCCTATTTTTTATCTTAAAAAATTATAAAATAATAACTTTGGTATTTTAATCTGACTCTTATTATTAATTAATTTATTTTAAATATCATTAAGTAAATTAAGATATAATATTCTTTATTGACTATATACCTTGATATAATTAAAATTACTAATATTATGATTTCATAATCATGAAAGTATTTAAAAAATTCTTATTATATTTTTTTATAATTTTTTAAACCTCTTGATTTTTAAATTATTAAATATAATAACTTTGCTAAAATTTAGTGTATTAAAAGATCTATTATTAGATTCAAAATTAAAATATTTAAAATTAAAATTGAAGTTTCTTCCATATCAAACTCTTCTTTAGATAATTTATATTATCTTATTATATTAAGATTTGGCAATATATTGGTTAAAATTATGCTTTATTTTATGATATAAAGAATAAGAATGAAATTGATAAAAATTTGAATCTAAAATAGAAAATAAGAATGAAATTGATAAAAATTTAGATGGCCTCATTTTTATCTCCATAAATAATAGCTATCATAAAGGCCTTAGAGTAGCTTCTCAATGATCATGAGATTTATAGCTGGACCACTAATCTATAGATTTCTTCCAATACAACTTTTTAAAATTAAAAAAAAATTAGAAAAAAGTTTTAATAGCCATGTGGCATACCTATAGAAGTCTAAAGATCTAATGAGCATCTAAAATACCTCTGCAAAGTAAGATATTATCTCCTAAAATATTTTACCTACTTTTAATTACTTCATTATATAAATAATATTTTCATCTATTGCATAAGGTTTTGATACTAAATCTATTAAATTTAAAATAGAAAAAAATA